TCGTGCAGCGACCAATGTGCTAACAGATTAGCACTCTAGCTGGCTTTAGTTGTTTTGTGGACCCTTCTTACTTTGTCCACACGTAGGAATAAAGGACAAAGAAGAAATATATCGATGCATTAGTCAACAATGAAAATGAGTGCCTGATAATAGAATAAACAGAAGAGTACTGAGCAAAAATACTAAAACTAAAACAGTTTTATTGACTAGGTTGAGACAAAGAATAAATCAATATGAATCAAGATGGCTGTCAAAATGAACACTGCTCTGTGTTTTGTTCAGGGCGAGGAGCTGAGCGAGGCCAACATCAGACTGAGTCTCCTGGAGAAGAAACTGGACAGTTCATCCAAAGATGCAGACGAACGTGTCGAAAAGATTCAGACTCGACTGGACGAGACACAGACTCTGCTGAAGAAGAAAGAGAAGTGAGAGGGAAAACAAAAATCAACAGTTTTACCGTGAGTCCGTCCACACACAGGTGGCCAACAGTTGCATGGCTCTGCTCCTCTGTCCACAGGGAGTTTGAGGAGACCATGGATGCTCTGCAGGCCGACATCGATCAGCTGGAATCAGAGAAGGCAGAGCTAAAACAGAGAATCAACAGCCAATCAAAGATGACCATCGACGGGCTGAGAGGAAGTGGCTCGTCAGGGATCGCGTCAATCGTCACAGGAATACCAGGAGGTAAGTGGAGTTTGAGTCAATGTGTGAACGTGTTCTGCTCTCAGCTTCTTCAAATACTGTACACTTCGACGTTCTCAGCTTCTTCAAATACTGTACACTTCGTGACGAGAAGACAGACAACAACACAACGCAGTGAGACGTTTTAATGTGAGAAACTTGGCGGCTGAATGGATTCAACTGGAATAAGATTAAAAATCTGTTGTTTTTAACTCTCAACATTGTTTACACTTTCATTTTTTATCTTATTTCTTTGACCTTAACAACAACTACTGTCTTTGTTTGTCTTTGTTTTATGGTCTGTACCTTCAGCAGAAGAACAGAAAGGTATCTGTGTTGTTCTTTACTGACCTCTGCTGGTGTATCCTGCATGTTACATTTGTAAGGTTTTCACTGCATGATTCTCCTGCAGCATCATATCAGCTGCATACTCTGGTCTGGGATCAAAGTTAACTCTTCAGTGATGTGAGAATTTAAAGTAACTTTAACCTCAGTTTCACTTAAGCTATTGGATTTCTGTTACTACAAAATGGCCCTGAT